TATGTTAAATGAGCTAGAGTTGCGGCACCCTCTAGCGCCGAGCAGCAGTAGCTCTCTGTCCTGATGTGTGCATTGTCATCATCCCGAGTAAGTCCCTTAAGGCTCGGGCATTAAATAACACACGATTCACACCAGTCGCTCACCCACTACCACCCTCACTGCCATTGCCACTCACACACTCTCTAGTCCTCTCCACCCTCCATTATGTGTTAAGCTGTGCTTAATAATGGCGAACATTGCATATGCAATGTGAGAAGCTGCTTTGCCAGGACACTCTCTGTCCCCCATGTCCGAGAACTTTAGCCGTGTTTACCTCTGAGCAGGTGTGTGTGTGTATGGGTGTGTGAGTGTCTGGTAAACAAACAAATGTGTTGCTATTTGTTTGTCTGCGGAATATTACCCGCTTCAGTTGCCTTTCCCCTCTAACTTTTTATATTATATAAATTTGTTGCGCTCCCAAAGGACTCAATTTCACATTTAATACACCTGTGCATGCAAATACTTACATATATTCATAATTATACCCTGCAATCCCACTATGTCATAGGGTATACCAGGCAGACATCAATTTGTTAGTCTTAGAATATAATCTCAATTTCACATTTATTTTTGAATAAGTAGAAACTTTATACGTATAAAATATATTTAAATCTGATTAATTTCTGAGTTCCATTAGTCTTTAGCTTAATCTCATCATATCTTATCCTAATCCTAATTCGATGCAATCGCTGTAGGCATATAAATGTTAATATTAACAGATGTTAATGTTAATATTAACAGATGTTAAGCTTAACAGCTGTCGCTTTTTCGCTTCGATAGCAGTGTTTGCCTTACATTGAAGAGCCATACAAACAGTTTACTCACAATTTGAACACATGGGTTTAGTAGCTCTGCTAATAAGCGATAGGAATGTTCTTTCTGCTCTATTTAATACAATATAAAATTACAATAAAAAATTTAATTTCAAATACAGAGTAGCTAAAAGTGCATTCGCTTTGACAGCGTAACTGTAATGTCAAATGAGAAGCGCGCAGGCCACGGCACAGCTTCACCTACATCTTCATTATTATCATCATCATCATTATCGTTATCCTTATCATCATCATCATTTGTGCCGTTTGTGGAAACAGCTGGAAGTGCAGGCTGTGGCAAGTCCTGCGACTGCGAATGAACTAATTTGATTTACATGCAAATTACATTTGGCCAACTAAAAAAGAACTTTTACTGCCAGCACAGGACGAACAGGGGAAGAGCTGAAGTGCGACGCCATCATTAAAAAATGTTTACAAAATTAACAAAATTGGCAATATCCGTTGGCCACTCGAGGGAAAGCAACGTACATGGCGTAGACACACGCAATTCTTTTCTGTCCGCCCGCTATTCCTGTGCCTCTCTCTTTCTCTCTCGCTCTCTGCCTAAACAAATGCTTTTTTGTTGTGTCCCATATTTTGTGTGGTTTGCTTAGAGGGAAGTTGATCCCCGCGGCCACCTCTTGGCACGACAACGTGCCGCATATTTAAATTTTAATTAAAATTTAGCTTGTGTGCCACGCGGTTGCACGTCCTATACCAACTCCCTACAGCACTCTTTCTCTCTCTCTCTCTCTTGCTTCATTTCGCGCTCGCGTCTCACAATATGCAAATAAAAAATTGCCTTTGTTTTTGCGGGTAGCAAATCTAGGTCTGATTGTTTAAGAGCTTTCCATTGTGCTCTAGGCAGATGGCCAGGAGAGGGTGGAGGGGTGACAAAGTAGCCAAGAGCAAGTAGCTTTCTTTGGCTTTATTATATTGAGGTTAAAAGCTTTATGCGCGCTTAACTGTATTTATATTAATCCTTCATGGGGCTGCTTCTTATGCCTGATTTTTACTTGGGCTGCCTGCGAAATAGGCTTTGTTTCACCTGCTAAGCCCTGAACTAAATTAATATTGAAAGTTCAAGTTTATTTTAAATAATCGATAACTATAACACTTAATGTTATCGATTAAAAACATTTTTGAAATTCAGTTATTCAGAGCCTTCAAATTTTGTATTTTGTTTTGTTTATTTTATAAATTTTTGATTTTATTATATTTTGGCTTCAAATTTTTCGGAATTCTTTAAATTGAAGTTCAGTGGAAATGGGGGGGGGGGGGGGGGGGGGGGGTGGGGCATTATGGAAGAAGTTTGCATTTTTACTAAGCTGAGAAATTATCCAATATGCTGAAAATTTCATTGAACTTAGTTAAGTAACTCGGAAGCTTAGCCAATTGTACCAAGCACGTGGCAAGCATCTTTCACATACATGTGCACATATACATTCAAAGCATCGAAGCAGAAATTGAAATTGTAATTGAATTGGGTTTGAGTTGTCAGCTGCTTCTCTAGTTTAGTTTAATTTGGAGTTCCCACTTAGCAATTAAGCAATGAAGTGGCGGTGGCAGAGGATGGATGATGAATGGTTTTATTAAACTGAGACATGTGTGTGCATTGTTTTTGGCTATGCATGAAATGAAGAAGCATAAAACGATTGCAACAATAGCAGCTCTTCGATGGGCTCGCGGTATCTGCTAGGCGGGCACTGCCGACTGAAGCACATGTTGCTGCTGTTATGCAAATGTAAATGTTGTATTACGCCGTCTCCAGGGTCGTTTTATTTGCAAATTAAGCAAATACATTGCTGGCTCAATCCGATAATAGGCGCAAGTCGTTGTTGCAAGTTGTCTGACTTGCACGGACAAGATCTAAATATATGAAATGGGTCATAGCCTGGTTACTTGTATTTATAATAGTTGATAGTTGATGACTTTATTTAATGTTGAATACTTTTTGCTTGCAACTGAGTTAAATTATTTTGTCTTTTTTCTGATTTGATTATTTCAATTAAAGTTTATTAAATAAATATGCTAAATTCATATCAGTTCCAACTTGACTTCAGCTAAATTATTATTGCTCTTTAATTATATTTTTTATATTTAGCTTGATTAAGAAGTAAAAGTTCACTGAGTTGACTTTAACAACTTCTTGCAGTGAGTTTTGTGCCAGAGTCCAATTATATGTTTGTTTGCAGCTAATGTACTCCACGGTCACTTAACTTGCACAGAGGCGTGCGTCCTTTAAGAGGACTCGTTGAAATTGTGGAACAAGCCGAGTGCTGCTTAGCTTTCAACCTAGATTATAATCACATTTCTGCACTTAACGTACTTTAAAATGTTGCTCAAGCATTTCCTTTGTGGAAATTCCTCACGAATTTTCATATATTGCCAGATTTCTTTGAGCCCGATGCCAGCTAGATGGAGATACTTGAAGTTGCGTTGCGGTCGCTTTTAATAGAGCGAAGATACATTTAGTTGTGCGTAGCTTGTTTGTTGCATGTATGTGACGCCTCCTTTCGACTATCCAAGAAGATTTTCATTCGAGTGCTTTGTGCAAAATCGTTCCTCTCTCTGTCTGAGCTACGCTTTTCCTTTTTAGCATTTGTATGCGAAAATCTGTTTTCGACTGTTTGGAATTTGCAGTTAGGTTTTTCGTGGCTTTTTTAGTGAATGGGGATGTCTGTGTGTGTGTGGGTGTGTTGTGGATGCTTTGGTCTTGCGACTGCTGGCTGTGCCGCTCCGCTCGGTTGCCTCTGCTTGCGCTTCAGCTCTTGCTTGGTTGCAATCCACAAAACCGCCACGAATGGATAGGTAAAAGAGTGCTTCCAGCCAGCCAGCCAGCCAACCAGCCACAATTTGCCGTGTAAATATTAATGCGCTTCAAAGTGATGGGAGCGTGAGTTATGCTCGACTTTATAAAGAAATTTTATATATAAACAGAAAAAACTTTGAGTAGCTAAATTAACAATTTGAAAGACATTTCCACGGAAAACTCAAATGCAATTTAAATCGAAATTGTATAAATCGAAATTGAAATTTATCCAATTACATTTTCTCCATTGCTATAAATATATAAATTACAATTACATTTTCTCCTTTACTATAAATATATAAATTGCCTTCAATACAAAAGAATAGTCCTTTAAATTAGTTTGATCGAATTTGGTCAAACAATTATTACTGTATCAGTCGATATATCGATAGGACCCGTTCTAAGTGATGAATAAGTTTTAACCCTAGAGAAATACTTTTATTTGCTGCATTTATCGAAATTGAATAGGGACTATCGATATATCGATCAACTTAATGATAAATTAGTTTTAACTCTAAAGAAATAATATTATTTGCTGCATTTATCGAAATCGAATAGGGACTATCGATATATCGATCAACTTAATGATAAATTATTTTTAACTCTAAAGAAATAATATTATTTGCTGCATTTATCGAAATCGAATAGGGACTATCGATATATCGATCAACTTAATGATCAATAAGTTTTAACCCTTGAGAAATACTTGTATTTGCTGCATTTATCGAAATCGAATAGGGACTATCGATATATCGATCAACTTAATGACAAATCGATATATCGATAACAACTCAAAGACATGCGACGGCACAGCAACCATCTCTAGCACAGTGAACCACTTTGCCCAACTAAGGCGTTTGTTTTGGGTTGCTATCTGGGGTAGCTGAACAAGGGTGGACATAGGGATGGGGCTGGGGTTGGATGCTGAATGCTGGGTGCAGGGAAATGTCTGTGCTCAATTTTTCAAAACTCGTTTGTGTCGTTGCTCCGTTCACTCACTCGCTCGCTCGCTCGCTCGTCGTTGCTGGCTGACTATGCAAATAATGAATGCAAAATATTGCTGAAGTGTGTCTGAGGCGAGCAGCAGCCGCAGCCGCTGCTGAAGCTGAAGGGGAAAGTGTCGTGGGGGGACTACAAGCAGGGTGCAGATATAGAGTTGGGGAAAATTTGCTTTCGAACTTTGCACTTTTCCATTAAGTTTTCAGCTTATGCGTATCTCTGTGTGTGTGTGTATGTGTGTGTATCTGAGAGCTTTGCGCTTAAATTACTATCGCTAATTAAATTTTCAATTAATTTTTGCCCATTTTATTTAATTTTTTTCCTTTCTTTTCTTGCAGCTCAGCACACAAGAGGAAACGGAAGTGTAAACGTGCAGCGGAAGCAAAAAGTTTTCAACAGGAATTGAAAAAAAAAATACAAATATAAATAGAACAAAGTTCAACAACGGCTACGGGTCGTATGCTTAATGGCAACGAACAACAAAGTGTGTTAAGAGCAGCGAAACAAGAATTAAAAACTTTTACATATGATAAACAAATGCAATAATATGTTAAAATACGCACTTTCCGTCGTATTTAAGGATGTCCGTATTAATGCCGGACGCTGCGCCATCATCTCAGATCCCGGAAAGGTCGCGGGCTGAGCAACGAAGTGCGGAATTCTCTAATAAAAAAAGGGGAAAAACATGTGAAAAATCAATTTGAAAAACGTATTGAAATCTCATGTGAAAAATCTTCGAAAAATTATGAAAAAATAAATGCCAATGCAGTGAGTTATCCATAAACAATTTATACGGGTGAAAGTCAAAGAAAATTAAATTCATTAAAAATACATGACAAACCAAATAACGCTTAAACAACAATAAAAATTAATAATTAAAGCAATTAATTATAAATAAATTAATGAAAATATAAGAGGCGTGAATTAGAATAAAATACACTTTTTAAATTTTGATAATTTTGATTTTAAATGAATTAAATCTTAAAATAAAATAACATCAAAATAATAATTAAGTTAAATAAAATTAATATTAAAAAAATAAAAAAGTAATATTACTTAATTTTTTATTCAAATAGTTTATTTTAATTCATGCATTCATTAAATAATAAAAAGAATAAGAATTAATTACTAAATCCTATATTTCTCTTTGAACAACGGATGGCGCCACAGTGAAAACTCATATCAATGCTAAAATGACGCCGATCATTTTTGTTTAAGAAGTGTGTATAAAAGAACAATAATAAATACAAAAAAGACTAACTAAGTGCAAAAAAGTTATTAAGACTGGCAGATTGTAGAGAGAAAGTGATGGATAAATCAAGCAGCGTCAGTCCCAGTGAGTGTCGCGTAACCAGATCAAGCATGACGCCCACCTTGCGGCTGCAGCAAAGCCCCAGGCGTCAACATCAGCAGCAGCAGCACCAGCAGCAGCAGCAACAACAGCAGCAACAACAACAACAACAGCAATCATGCGATGAACAAATTGCAATCAAAACCAAGTCACCGCAGCAGCAGTCGCTGCCGACGTTAACGTCTACGTCAACGCCGACGCCGACACATCATCAATTTCGTGCGCCAGCACAACAACAACAATCAACCAAGCACAAAAGCAACAGCAGCGGCAGTGCCAGCAGCGGCGGCAGTAGTAAAGCCTGGAGCAAACGGCAGCACAAGACTAGCGGTAAATACAATGCCAGCGCTTGCGTCGGCGCCAGCGCTCAGCAGCAGAATCAGCACCATCATCATCCCTACGCCGCGCATCATTCAGCGAATGGCAGCGGCGTCTCTGCTCAGGCAGCTGTCGGCGCTGGCGTCGGCTCGCAGCCAGCAACTAGCGCCGCAGCCGCTGCGGCCGCTGTTGCCGCTCACAAGGCAGATCTGGAGAACATACAGAATATCAAAAATCAAATAGCTGGCAGCCATGCCCACAGCGGCGCCCACCAAGCCGGCACACATCACAGCGTAGCGGCTGGCTCCGCCGGCGTTGGCAGCGCTGTCAGCGGCGGTGGTCACCATCATCATCACAACCATAATACACGGCTGGCGCAAACTGCGGCAGCGATAGTGGGCAACGGCCTGCCAATGCCAACGATGGATGCCAAGCTGGGAGGGCACGGGCACGGCTTGAAGGGACAGCAGCAGCAGTACAAAAAGATGCTGCCTCACAGGTAACGTAACATGATTAAATTGAGGTTAAGTTAGCTAACATTCATACGTAGCATTTTTATATGACGTAATGTCAATTAGCGTAACGTATTGGAAGGCACGTTGACTTAACGTAAAGAAATCTATTTTTATACAAATTAATGTAACTGAAGAGCTTTCATTGGCATGCAAAAAAAATCTATATATATATATATATATTTACATTATTATACATTTCTCATCCTTCTCCCTTTCTATCTTTCTTTCTCGCCCTCTCTCTCTCTCTTTCTCTTCATCGAACAGAGGTCATCATCATCATGTCTTGTGCTCTGGCAACAATGCGAATCACACATGCTGCCTGGTAACTGGCTGTAACGGCAGCGTCGGCAGCGCAGCCGGTAAAGATACGCAGAGCAACAAGGACACCAGCTCGCTGAGCGGCAACAGCAGCATCAATTCTAGCAGCGCAGCGGCAGCGAACGCTGTGCACTATTGCTGCGGCCGTTCGAAGTTCTTTTTGTCCGAGAAACGTTTACGCAAGGAAGTTATTGTGCCGCCTACGAAGTTTCTACTGGGTGGCAACATTTCGGATCCGTTGAATTTGAATTCGCTGCAGCATGAGAATACGTCGAATGCGTCATCTAGCAACAATACGCCGGCGACGACGCCGCGACAGTCGCCGATAACGACGCCGCCGAAGGTGGAGGTGATTATACCGCCGAATATACACGATCCGTTGCACTTGCTCGATCCGGTCGATTCGATGGAATACGAGAAGCAGTTGACGTCACCAATGAAACGGGGCGGCATGCTGACTCGTGGCAGTCATTTGAAGCTGCAGCAGCAGCAGCAGCCGCATCACCGGCAGCACAGGCAGCGTAAGAATCGTAAGCGTCGGCGTTTCGATTCAAATAATACATCGTATGCCGGCGATGACGTCGCAGTCATCGTCGCTGACGGCGTCGCTGAGGCGTCGACGCTTTCGATTTCATTGGAAGATGTGCCAGCAACAAAAGGAACAACAGCAACCGCAGAAGGAGCAGTGATGGAGATAGACGACGTAGCAGTCAACGTCACAACAACATCAACACCAACAACAATATTAACAGCAGCAACAATTGCAGCAGTTACGACTGAAGCTGCAGTAATAACAGCAGCAGCGGCGTCGCCTGTGGCTGCGCTGAGCGCCACAACACTGCTGAGCGAGGCGGCAGCGTCGGCTTCAGGTGAAACATTGGAATTGACACAACAGCAGGCGCATGTGCGCTCTCGCTCTCCGCAAGCAGCGGCCACTGCAATGGAGGAGACAAGAACGCCAGCACTAGCAGCCGGAGCACAAACGCTCTCGCCAAAGGAACAAATGGAATGCAACATTACGCGGCCGGCAGCAACGTTAACTTTATCGCCGCTACAACAAGCACAGCCACAGCAACATGTGGCTGCAATTGCCGAGCTGCCCAGCAGCGACATGCAGACGGTGACTGGCAGCAACAACATCAGCAGCAGCAGCAATATTAGCAACTCAGATGATTTGGGACTCAGCGCAGCATCAACAGACGCTTCGACGTCGGCAGCAGCGCTAGCAGTAGCGTCCACGCTGGCCGATCGTCGTGCGTTGGCCAGTCGAGATTTGCGCTTAGATTTGGACAGCACATGCTACGGCGTTGGCGGTACAGGATTGAGCTTTGCTGCTGGCAGCGCAGCCAGCTTTGGCAGCGGCAGCAGAAAACGTAAAGTTAGTGAGAGCAACAATTCTCAAAAGAGCAAGGTGGGTATAAAATGGAATTGAAATCAATGGGAATGGGGAAAAGTGGAACAGTATGCCTGTCTGCCGGTCTGCCTGTCTGCGTGTGTATGTGTGGTTAAACTTGGGCCTTAACTGTGGTTGTTGTTGTGGAAGCAAGTCAATCGCTTGCTTTGTTTTGATTGCTTTTGGGTTGTTTTTTATTTGTGAGTTTTGTTTTTGTTGCGTTGCTTGTTCAAGCGTTGCTTAGATTGAGGTTAAGGGGTCAGGGGCAACATAGAAAGAATTTTATTAGGTTTAGTTTTGGGAGGGTTGCCAAAAGCCACTAAAAATATACCGAAAAAGTTTTGAACTTGTGCTGTCTAGTGGACATTAGATATAAATCCACTTAGCATGGGAACTGTTTGAATATAGGGTTAACTGTATTTTCTTATACTAATTATTTTTTTTTCTCATAGAAATTCCATCGACATGATGCCCTGGATAAAATTGTTAGTCCTGTGGTGCCACAACCGGGTGCCTGGAAGCGGCCGCCACGTCTACTGCAGCCAAGTGGGGCACGAAAGCCGAACACGCGGCGGTCGACATCTTTTAGCGAAACAGAGCAGCTGAGCCCCGTGGAGGAACTGCCACACAAGCCGCTTATCGAGAGTAAATGCAACAAGCTTCAATTCGACCAGACACACTCTACATTCCTCTTTTGTTTTCAGTTGTGGACATACCACGCGACGATACGCCCGATCTGTCCGAGCATGGGCTGGGCAGTCCGTTGAGCACCATTTCCGCAGCCACGTCGCATACGGCCGGGGAGCCAGATACGCCTACAGCGGATGAGGCAACAGCAACAACTACAGCTGCAGCAGCAGCAGCAGCAGCAGAAATACCAGCAGGCGAAGCGGCAGCAACAGCAGAAGCAGCTGCAATATCAGCAAGTGAAGGTCCGCCAGTTGTTGGCTTAATGCTGGAGCCTGCTTTGATTCCGCTACTTCATACGACGCCCAAATTCCGGGCGGATGGTCTCAAATATCGCTATGGCAACTTCGATCGCTATGTGGACTTTCGACAGCTCAACGAGTTCCGCGACGTGCGACTGCAGGTGTTTGAGCAGCATGTGGAACTGTTCCAGAACAAGGATATTCTCGATATTGGCTGCAATGTGGGCCACATGACCATCACAGTGGCGCGCCATTTGGCGCCCAAGAGCATTTTGGGCATCGATATCGATCGCGAACTGATCGCCAGAGCTCGACGTAATTTGTCGATATTTGTGCGCATACCCGAGGAAGAGCGTCCGGTGCAGGAGGTTAAGCAGTCGCAGCCACAGTCGGTGCTCGATAAGGCTGAGCCGAGCGATGGACACAAGAAGACGCGACGTGGCAAGAAGCGACGCAAGGCGCAGCAGCAGCGGCAGCGGCAGCAGCAGCTGGCACTGCAACACCTGCAACAGCTTCATCACCATCATCATCATCATCACCATCATCATCACGGTCACGATCATCATCATCATTTGGAGCAGCTACAGAAATTGGATGCATTGCTGGTCAAGCCACACGAATTTTTTCCCATTTCCTTTCCGCTCACCTATGGTGGCATGCCGCACTTGCCGCCCACGGGAAAGTCGCCTTTCAATTCCAGCTGCAAAAACCAATTTCCACAAAATGTTTTCTTTCGTCAAACGAACTATGTGCTGAAGGACGAGTCCCTAATGTCGAACGACACGCAGCAATACGATCTCATACTGTGTCTATCGGTCACCAAGTGGATACATCTGAACTTTGGGGACGCGGGCCTCAAGCTGGCCTTCAAGCGCATCTTCAATCAGCTGCGACCTGGCGGCAAGCTCATACTCGAGGCGCAAAACTGGGCTAGCTACAAGAAGAAGAAGAACCTAACGGTACGACTCTCGCTATATTATACCATATCAAAAACTGTTTAAATGCCTGATTAAATCCTACAGCCGGACATATACAACAACTACAAGCAAATCGAGTTCTTTCCCAACAAGTTTCATGAGTATCTGCTGAGCCCGGAGGTCGGCTTCAGTCACAGCTACACGCTGGGCGTGCCAAGGCATATGAATAAGGGCTTTTGTCGACCCATACAGGTGAGCGACATCGTCTACTTGAAGAGCTTGAGATATTGGCGCAATCGTTGAATACTTTGTATAAGATAAAATACCTTTCCTTTGCGAGACAAAACTAAATTGATATAAGACCAAGCAGACCTAATTTACCAGGCAAATTAAGAAGTTCTCAGTCAGTATTTCTATAGCAGCTGAATTAAAAATCTACAAACTGCAGCAAAGGCTGCAGAGATTAACATCCGAGAAATTCCATTTGTTATTTTATTATAATATATAAAACTTGATCCATTTGTCTCTGACTCAATGTCAGTTTCTTTTTCAAAATGTTCTAATAGCACGACCGAACCTTCGCCTCTCCATGCGCTTCTCAGATATGAAATATCAGAAACATTTATATTGCTAATCGCCATTGTCCAGTAAATTTTCTACTTAATTTAATCACATTAAGATTTTCAAAGCAAACACTGCTTAAATTTAAATATTCAAAATTTCCTCGAATTTGCCAATTTCGCAGTTTCTCGAGTCAATTTAAAGCTTTTCCACTGCCTCACAAACTAAATTTGGCCCATTTCCATTGCAGTTGTATGCCAAAGGCGACTACACGCCGAATCATGTGCGATGGAGCGACGCGTACTATCCACAAACGCCGTATGAGGCGTATCGGGGCATCTATGCCACGCTGCCTGCCCATCGCACGGGCGGAGGTGGCAGCAGTGCGGGCGGCAGTCACGGTGGCCACGCCCAGCTACACTTGCTGAGCAGCTCGACGCGGTCGCAGAACTACGATACGCCGCACTATGCGGGCAGTGCCTCCGGCTCGGCCAGCTGCCGGCAAACGCCGATGTATCAGCATACGTACAACCCGCTAGAAACAGACTCCTATCAGCCAAGCTACGACATGGAATATCTGAATCACATGTATGTCTTTGCTTCGCCTCTGTATCAGACCGTCTGGTCGCCACCGGCTTCGTTGCGGAAGAGCTCTTCGCACACGCCGGTGTTTGGCAGCGTGCGGGATGCGGAGCTGGATGGAGATGGCAGCATAAGCGGTGGTGGCAGTGGCGGAGGGAGCTATCATCGTCACGTTTATCCGCCCAATGATGACACCTGTTCGCCGAATGCGAATGCATGTAATGCATTCAATTCTATAAGAGATGCGGACACGGATGACTCCAATCAGTTGCCCGGGGGCAGCAGACGGCATGTGTATGCCACAAATTGTGGCGAGAGCAGCTCCTCGCCTCAGGTGAATCATCACGAGGCGAGCGTCGAGTTTGCCGATGCCCTCATGGATGATGAGCAGAAGACGCTGGCTGCGGGCACCAGCGGAGGTGGGAATGGAGGAGCAGGAGCAGGAGCCGCTTACTGTGATCTGTCAGATGCCTAAACTGGGTCTGGACGGTGGGCGAATACGAAACACATTGTGTCAAAATGCAAAATATAAATAGAATTATATATAGCCATAAGTTATGAAATTTGTAAACAAAAAATATGGAGCTACATTACGAGATGTGTTGCAGCCAGCCGTTGTTCATTTGATTTGTCCAATACGTGAATATATATATTTCTATATAAGTATATATGTGATAAATCAAATCAACAATTGCCGCGCATCCCTTCAGATCAATGTAAACACGCAAACGAGACGCTTATGATTTTTTAATATATAAAATTGCAAATAAATATATATATATTTTTTATATATAGAAATTTAATGGCAGTACATACAATACATATATACATGTGCATATATATAGATATAGATATATCTGAATATAGATAAACATAGATATTTATCGCAATCTTCGTGTAGAAATTACATTTGCTTCTTTCTAATCAAAAGTTGTTAATTTTACAAATATTCAATTATTTTTCTTGTTGGCAGTTCAAATCTAAATTTAGGTTCTTAATGTAAATTCTTTAAGCAATATCACACACATACACAGAAGAGAACACACTGTATGCAGTAGCTTTATAAGCAAATTTAATGTGCTATAGATTAATCAGATATTTGTGAAAATTAACTGGAATAATAAACCGTGTGAAATGTAACTATTTTTGATTAACGTATTTGGAAAACGGTGCAAGGGATCGCTGTAGAGAAACCAAAATAAAAACCATTCAAAATTCAAAAATGTCAAAAAGCATACAAAATACAATTTACTACATTTATAATTAACAATAAATATATATATACATATATATATATATATGCTTAAACAATTTATATAAAAAGTAAAGTAAAGTAAAAACTTAATGTACGTAGTTCATAGATTAGAGCATTAAATACATTATTTTTTCTGAGAAAATGAAACAATTTATAAAGGTATTAAAAAAAAGAAAACAACAGAAAAACATAAACAAATAAAGAAAATATTATTGAAGATAAACGATTTTTCAACAAATATTTCATTTGTAGCTCACCTACAGTGGACACCCTGTAAAGAACATTGATCAATTTTTTTTCGAACTCTTATCATTGTGCCTTTGTTGCCTGCGTGTGACCCTTATCGCTTATCAAATAATTTCTTTTTATTAACAAAAAGATTTTTTATTCCATTCACCTGTTGGCATTGGGCTGTATGTAGAGTAAAGTACGACGAGCCCATTTTAGCAAGTTATTTGGATTGCATAATGAAATGTATAATTCCTATTAGGTAAATACTTAACAAATATATAGGGGCTTCTTCCATATTTGAGTGACTTTGAATTTTCAAGGGACCACGATTAAGGGAATTCAATTTAAATATCTAAGTTCAAAGATTGCGCAGATTTTATGAGATACAAATAGATATTTAATATAAAGTACTTATGCATATAATAATGGTGTGGTTAGATAGAAGGTAGTAAGTATACATAATAATTAGTTACTCAATCTTCGGAAGTATTTTTTCTCCTTGATAGCTTGAAAATTCTTAATTTTGGGTTCGTAAAGCTCAAATAACAGTAGGAAAATCAAAAGTTAAAACATTTCATTGGGGAAAATAAATTTATTATGTACTTTAAGGTTTAAATATAAAAAAAAATTTTTTTTTTCATTTTAAATAATGGTATTAAGTGTTATACATTTTGCATACTTTTGAATTAGTAAATATATTTGAAAATTAATGAAACAATTTCTTTATTTAATATTAATCTCATAATTAATTACTAATGATTATGATAAATATTCAATAATTTTTGTATTATATATATTATATTCTTTTTTTAATATTAGCCTTTGATATTATTTATATCAGTTTTTCATTGTATTTAAAATTTTTTTCATTTTTTTTATTTATTTTTATTCCATTTTTTTAACTTATTTAATTTTTATAATTTTTTTTCTTTATTATAATGTTATATATATTTTTTCATTGATTTATTATTGTTTTTTAACCTAAATTTGTTGTAGTCAAACTTGTTGTGAAACCAATTTACACAGTATTTCGCAGCACGGGACCATCGCTCAGCTGTTTGATCGCCATTACGCTCTCGTTCTCTCGCCAGTCGCTTCCAGTCCAGAAAAGCTCATGCGCCGTGACGCTGGAATGAATACGTCGCGACGATAAGAAATGTCAAAGCTTGAATTAAAGTGCACACTAAGTGAAAAATACTTGAGCTATAAAGCCACAGACATGATTAAGAAAATCAAAAATTGCAGAATGCGGGCGGAGCAAAAGCTATGCTCTGGACGTACTTGTAGTTTGTGAGATGCGGAACATTCAGCTGGCTTGCTCTGGCTAGCTTTCCAGTGCTCTTTCCATTGCTGCCAGCACGTTTTTGTTTTTTTCTTACGTTTGGTTTGTCAGTTATAAATTCGACGGCAACGCTAGCGGCGGCCGCGGCGACTGCGTTCTGCTAAATAACAAAAGAAAAAAATATATACAGCAACAAGTTTTCAACTGGTGTTGAGAAAGTTCAACAGCTACGCGTGCGTCTCGCTCTCTCACGCTCTCGCTCTCCTCTCTGCGTGTTTGTGTTTGTGCATGTGTGAGTGTCAATGTTACTGTGCCTGTGTTGATTGGGCATCACAATTTGGAAATTAAAAAGATGATTTTTCGTGCCGAATAGGCGCCTTTGGCGTTATGCCCCAATTGATTTGCACTTGCGGCCAATTCGTAAGGAATACGACATCAAAGAGCTAGACTCTCATGTAATTGAAGTACACATATGTACATACACATAGCTTATACACACATATATATATGTATGTGTGTGTACAATTAAAAGCTATTTGCATGAATCATGGATACTTGCTCATAAAGGAATTAAATTGAATCTGACTTAAAGCAAAGCGAACCAGCTCAAAGGCCACCCAGCAGCCGTTGGCACTCTCTGGATATTACAGTAATTCTTCCATTTAAAACTTTAACGTAAGTTTTATGCACAATATTTGTTTACTGTTAAGTAGAGTCTATGCTATAGAGCATACAAGACTCCACTCTCTCCCCCTCCCTCTCTCTCTCTCACTGCCTTTCGCTCCGTTAGCTATTCCCACGTAAATAGTCCCATTGTAGAGTTGTATCTGTGTATTTAACTATTTGACTCATTTGGTATTGATCAGCGCCCAATTGAAGCAGATATATAAACCAGACACGCCAAATAAACCAGATTTATACCCTATGTGTTTCATTACTTCAACAAACAAATGGCAAAAAAGTGTACTTAAATTATACAAGTCTCTGCCTAAGTAAATTCAAGAGAAAATTAAACTTATCCAATTACAATAACTTTTCTTATCGTAAATCTGCTTTTGTGGTACTTATTTATAAGGCGAAAAGAGTATATTGGTTTTTGCCTTGAAATTTGGAATATATACGCCCACTATACTATATTTTGTTATTTTTTAATGTGCTAAGGACTAGAAATTGGGACAAATTTGAATACTAACGTTGACAATCCAAGATCGCAGAGATATAGTATATTAAGGCCCATTTGGGCGTGGCAACTTGGAAGAAACTTTTACCATTAGAAAAGTATTGCTGCTAGAGACTTGAAACAACCCCATAAAACTATATACATTAATATCTACAATAACAATATCTACGCCTAAAGGGGCTGGGATATATCAAAGAAATCTTTTTCTTCCAAAAGTTCTATTATGGAGTTAAGGTTAACATACTCCATCGAAGTACCTAAAACTTTACGTTGCTTTGGAAAATGGTAATACTAAATACCTAAGACCAAAAATTTGACTGTGGCGTTACTCCTAACAGTGGACTACTAAGGATTGGTCTACTGCAGTGGGGCAAATCTGTTAAAACTATATATTTTACAGTTTTAACGACTAAGTTACTGTGGACATTCTCTCTCTCTACACAAATATATGTGAGGGCGTGTCAAAACAATTTAAAGCTGGCAACGTAGCTACTATTTTAGACCGCGAATGAGTATTATACAGTCAGTAACCCCCAATTCTACCTGTTTTTATTGCATTGCTTGGAGCTTGTTTAGTAATACATAAGGTATAATTGAAAAAAGACCCATCATGACTGGAATGTAAAGTAATAATACTTCAATTAAAAAAAACATGTTGGGGAATTATAAATATAAATGTAAGAAAATACAAAATAGAATATTCTAAAACTGATTTAGTTAATTACATTATGCAAGCAGTTTTAGAAGGTAAAAAGTTAAAATCATAGACTACAGAAATATGTGTAAGAATTAAATAAAATGTTGAAAACCTTTGGATATATTCTCCAGACAACAATAAATTCTCTAACTCTCAACTTAGCTATTAAATCATAAATATATTCATATATATATAAATAAATAAATAAATAAATAAATAAATATATAACAATTTTTTAATTTAAATTAATTATAAATTTATTTTAAAAATTAATTTAAATTAAAGTATTATTACTTTAATTTAAATTTATATATATATATATATATATATATATATATATCTTAATTGTGATGTCGTCTAATGGGCACAGGGAACAAAACTGAGAAGCATCCGAGCTCAGCCATCGGCCACAATTGCCCATGGGAAATGGATAAGTGAGCAGAGAGCGTGCCCGACAAACAGCTGTTCCTCTCTTTGCACTAGCTGAAACCATAGAATTCCCAAATGGTTTCAGCGGTAAGAATTGCGAGGCGAGGCCGAAGGCGAGCCGAGAGAGGTTCTTGATTATAGAATCTGCTCACATTTTGTGCGCTTATTAATAATCAACTTGACTATCGAGATATATATGATAGTAGACAATAATAGGTTAAGTTAATTCCATTCAGAAACTATCAACAATAGTCTAATTGACATTTGATCTTATCGGAACTGCGACTAAAAAGTTGTCATGGAAAATTTTTTTGTATTAATGTTTTATTTTTCGAAATTTTAATAGATATAAGAATTTTAATAGATATTTCCTTCGCAAATTTTTTGTAATTCAATTAGCATTTATTTTGATCAATGAGTTTTCCATCGTTGAGTAAGTATATATATATATATATATATATATATATATATATATATATATATATATATATATATATATTCTATGTAGTCTATATGATTTCCACTTTGCACTTTGCACAGTGCCAACAAGTGTAATAAGTCTACCTGAATATATTATGAACTCCTAAAGATTTTTTATCGGATTTGATACCTCTTTTAAGAAGCGAGCTTCAGATTAGGTATTTCAGGTATTAAATTAGTAAAAAACAGTAAATCCACATCTTGGACATGTCGTCTCACCACGCTTAAATCCGAATTTGAATCACTTGGCGCGCTTTTCTGCTATGTGGGATATTTACTGGGCACACTTACACATGTTAATATATTCCCACTATTATGTGTTTGTTTATTTATTTTATATAATCTTATCAGAAATGTAATTAGAATTTGTCTTTAGTTGCCGCGCCTCATTTGTGACAACAATTTGGTTTCGTAGCCTAAATGTGAATAACGAGTGTTGATTACACCAAAATTGGCCGATTAGATACAATAACCACATATGTATATATATATGCATATATACAAATACAAAGAGCAAGAGCGAGGCCATTGACTTGAATGTGAATCATATTCTCTTTTACAATCCTTTGAATATGAATTGATAAATTATAAAAATTTCCTCTTAATAAAATTTCCCCATAGCGATCACAGCTTGAGCTTTATGCAAAAGCTCATTTTACAGACAGCAACAACTACAGTTAAACTCGTTCCAGCTGCGACCTTGTGTGCTTATGAGCAGCTCTTAAAAACAAGCTTTATGATTAACTCTAATATTACATGTTGCCGCACTGCTCGCACTTTTAAAAGGCTCTGAACAGCTGTTTACATTTGCTGCTCGTTTTGTTGCTATTTTTTCTTTGCCAGCTACTCCAATAACTGATTGTGAGACAGTGGAACGGACGTTGGCAAAGAGAGAAAGAGAGCGCAAGCTGACACTTGCTAAGCGGTTAAGAGTGCGCGCTCTGCAATCGGTTAAAACGTTAACCGCTTGGCTTGCCACTATGAGCACTAAAAGCTTTAGCCAACGCGGCGGTCGACTGGTTTAGTTACTATTATTAAACAAAGTGACGGCAACGTTGATGCAACGTTTTGGCTACGCGCTCGCGTTCGCAACTTGAATCGATCGTTGATCGGGGCACGCGCTGTGTCAGTGTGCGTGCGTGCGTGTCTGTATGTCAGTGTGTGCGTGCGAAGTGTCTTCATTTTCTGCGCGCTATCTTCGGTAGACGGCTATTCGGCGTTCGGCTATATGGCTGTTGTTGTCGCAGGTAGAAAGAAGCAGAAAGAGAACAGCGTGGCAGCATTTCTTTGTTGTTTTTGTTACCTTTTTTCGCTAATGTCACTGCGCGCTAAATATTCGCGATGCGGCTTCCAACAACGGCTTCTTGAAAGCTGCAACTTCCGTTAGTCATTGACTCTGGCTCTGGCTATGGCAAAAGTAAACAATGGGCAATTATTATCAGCAGACGTGTTTATTTCCCACTATAAGACTTTTTGGCCATTTTTAACGGAAGTATGCATCTGATGCGTGCGTTAATCTGAAAGATGCAAATATGCGAGAAATTCATCGAAAATCAAAGGCAACGGAATTTGCTTTTGCCTTGCAATTGCTATTGCTATTGCAATTACAACAATGGGAATAAATATTCCGATATACGCGCGCTTTCTTGTTACTGTTGTTGCTGTTGCTGTTTGCATTTACACTTTTTTTACGCTATTTCCAAATTTCCTTTATGCCAAAAATTTGTTGTGCAAACTTTTATGAGCTCTGTATATATATATGTAGTATATATCAGCGGCAAAGCGGTTTTTATTTATAACAAAATATGCATAGTTGTGTGTGTGTATGTATATATACGTATGTGTAGATACTTACATGCATGGGTATACACATATATATATAATTGAAGGCTAATTGTGTTTAAATTATTTTTTTATGCGAAAATCTGATTTCAATAATTAAGAAAATTGTACAAAAGAAAATCGAAAAATATATAAAAATTAAATTAAATAAAAAAACATTTAAAATTAAAATAATATTAACTTAAAATAAATGAAAATTTAATAAAATATTCAACATCTAATTAGTATTTAATTATTAATACAAAAAGTGTTCTCTGTGTAAAAAGTTTAATTGATCGCTTTAAAACAACTATATATAATTAAATAGTAATATGAGGTCGATTTTAAGGTAAAACTAAAAGGAAACGTGACCGATTAACTTGTAAATTTAGTTACAAGGAATAATAATTAATTTTTAGTGTGCCCTTTGTATTGTCACCTTGAGCCAATTTTTTGGAAGTTCATGCAACGCTTGATATATACATCTGTATTTATTGTTTAATTAGCTGCTATAATGCGAACAACAACAACAACAGCTGGAACGGACTTTCCGTATTGCAAATAAAAACGAAAAGCAAACAGCAACAACAAAAACAAAATGAATTTCCCTCGACCACAACAAGAAAAATCACCAAATATCATATGCCAAAAGTACCAAAAGTACCAAATAATTAAACATAGCAACAACAACAACTACAACAGCAGCATCATCGTCTAACATGACCCAGCCAAATGTACTAAAAGTCACAAGCGCGGCCAACGCAGAAGCGCAGCAACTGCAGGACGAGCGGACAGCGGCGCTGACGTCTGATGTGCAAATTATTCGAGTGCAACGTCATCGGCGTAGCATTTCAGAGCTGATGGCTAGCATGGGTAAATTTTGAAACTGTTAAACTGTCCTAGGGAAATGCCTTGATAATGTCCTACTTGAAACTCACTCTCGCGTGAAAGCTCTAAATGTCCTCCGCTCATTAGGAGCAAACAACGTTGTTGTTATTTTCCCTTTCATGAACATGGGTAATTCTCAAGCAGCAAAGCTTTTGATCTCATATTGCCTAGCCGTGTTGC